TTAGTCCGTACGGTTAACGTTTTAAAAACTTTACGTTACTAATTAGTTGTCCACTCTTACTATATACGAAGGACGTAATTTAGTTAAAAATAATATACATATATATATATATATATATATATATATATATACCAGGGTTGACCACATTGTAATTTCCAACTATAAGAGGAGCATGTCGTATTTTCACTATTTTCTTAGAATCTGTACGTAAATTGCTATTTTTAATAGTTGATTGGTTTTCAGAGTTACATTCATCATAGTTTAGATTTTTCAATCTTTAGATCCAAAATCCATCTTCAAAGTCGATTTTGAAGAGAGGACTAATTTAAACGGGTGAGACGAGGGACTTATAAAAACGTGAGTATATTTGAAAGTTCGTATGTAAATCAAATTTTTGAACTTGGTTGTAACCACACTCGTCAAGTGCTTATATATACGATTGCTATAATGTCATATTAATGTTTATCGAAAGGTCTCTTGTATACAACAACACCGCAAGGGATATGATGTACAACATAATGAATTGTACCAAAAGATTGGATGAGAGAATACAAAAATGTTGGTCGCCACTCGTCAGACACTTTCAGCTTCAGTCATGGCATCCGTGGTTTTCTGTAAATTTAGGTAGGTGTATACTGACATTCCACATAAAGCACCAACAGCCCCGCAAATGCTCATCACTCCTGGGTCCGACTGGAAGAGAAGAGACCCACCAAGTAGAATGATGCATGTTTTGAATTGCCCTAGGACTACATGGGTCGTCGCAGAAGTTGCCCTACAAAGCCAAGCAGGAGTTTAGTATTTCCCTGATGGCAAGTGATCAAGAAAGACCAGATTTTGTAGGGATTAAGAACTTAAAAATCGTGATGTTAATCTGGATTGGGAAACAAAAGCCCATCCAGAGAGCTCACTAGGCATCAGGTACCCACTGGTTCCGTTTTATCCAACCAATTTTGGCTTGTTTGAAGGAATAGGTTGACTCTATCATAGAACCGGTCTTACTTTATATTTTAATATTTTTGAACTTTCTATTCACTAAAATTTTTAATTTTTTATTTCACCAAATCACGAGGCCGAATGGCTCCTCTGACTGCCTATCCAAAGTTGCTTTCCAGGGAGGAATCTGGGTCACCAAACCATTTAAACCTTGGTAGGGATCGTCGACCATACACCTTTATTATATACGCAACCAAGGTAACCATCTTCATAACGGACCCTTCCAATTGAAAATTAACAGATAATATCCATCCTAAAGATTTCTTAGTTTTCATATTTAAATCGAATGACAAAGTTTATAAAAAAGAGATATATATATATATATATATATATAAG